CCTCCGAGTTTCTTTCCCAAACAGACAGCATCCATCCTCGAGTGCTCCTCTTCCATGTTCAGCCACGCCATACCACGTTTCTTCAGCGACTGCCGGTCTCACGCAGAGCAGCAGCCGAAGTCCCCCGATGGCCGATGAGTCATCACGAAATCCGGCCCTGTTACCTTTCTGACTTCATCCTTTTCAGCTCTCCCACACTGAGCTCTGGTCACGCCGAGCTCCTTGCTATTTCTAGAACACTAGGATCTGGGTGCCTTTTCTCTGTGCCCTCTGTCTGCTCCCTCACCCCCACTGCTCCCTGACCGTATCCAGTCACAAGGGCCAGTCTCCACCCCATGGGTTTCTCTCTACCCTGTGGACAGCTCCTATCTCTCCGCTCCACTCTCTCTTCTCCTGCCTTACTTTGCCTGCACTGCTCTCACCATATGATAAGGGGATGTTTTGATACCATTGCCTCTGCCTTCTAGAAAGTACGCTCCAGGGATATTTTGCCCGTTCATTTACAGCCAGGCCAGGAGGAATGCCTGGCACACAATTGTGTGGAATGGAATCTAGGAGCCCTGGGAGCGTAGTGGTTATGCATTGGGCTGCTAACCACACGGTCAGCAGTTCAAAACCACTAGCCGCTCCGTGGGAGACAGATAAGGGCCTTCTACTCTGGTGCAGAGTTGTAGCCTCGCAAACCCACAGGGCTCTGCTAGTCGGTATTTACTCCATGCCAGTGAGTTTGGAATTTGGAGGCGTGAAATAAAATTTGACAAAGAAAATTCTTTTGTACAAATCAAGAAAAGGAGACACGGAAAACTACAATTTATGAATTCTTAACGTAACACATGGAGTTGGTTTAAGTCTTGGGGCTCGGATCCAGGTCTCCTCCAGCCCAGGCGGTTTTTATATTGGCCAGGGTCTCAACGGTGACTTCCTGCTTTTCTCCTGATCAACAGCTGACTCTTCATGCACTGTTCTTGCTTAGGCGTCCTTTGTCAGAACCTGGGCAGCCCGCATTTCCCAAAGGCCCAAATAAAATTAAATCACAACTGCCCGCCCCCCTTCTGTGGGGGAAAGGCCAGCCCCCCACAACTAATAGTGGGTTCGATAGGCGCAATTGTACGGTTGAGATAGCTAAAGATTATAATAAAGTCATAGAGAGCATGAGAGATAGAGGAGGGATCGAAATGATGGAATCAGACCCATTTCCTGGTAGCATGCTCCCCTCAGCCTGCTTGGTGGTCCATGTGGAAATGGGAGACCAGAGGGCAGGAGAGAGGGGGAGGGGAAGGAGGACAAGGGGAAAGGGAACAGGGGAGAGAGGACCAGGTGGGAGAGAGGGGAGAGCCGAGCTTTCTTTATTGCTAACCAAGGCTTATAGATCTTTGAGGAACATGCAAGCCTCCTAATTACAGGTAAAGGCATACATCACAGGAAGGGGTTGCACTATAGGTTATACAGCAGTGAGAGGAGGCGATCTCATGATATACATGCAATAAGAAGGGGAGGGATTGGGGGCACACATGTGACAAGAAGGGCGGATCTTAGATCCAGGATGGCAGTCTAACTGGATGACACTGAGTAGGTTTGACCTGTTCTCTGGCTCTCCATGGAAACCATTATCAGTAGGGCATAAACCCCACCTACGAGGACCCCACCTACGGGGACCAGACTGGTGTCTGAAAGCCTTTAGGGAGAAGTAGCCCATTGTCCTTAACAGCAGGGAGCGGGCCCTGCCTGTGGTGGGACCAGACTGTAGTGTGGCAATGGAATGCCTTCAGGGAGGATGTCTCTAAGCATCTGACCCCCCACCATATGCTGGCAAATAACCTGTAATGTTTGGCATGTCTTTTGGGGGAGACAAAGCTGGGGAAAAGTCTCTTTATAGTCCCACACCCTTCTTTTAAACTAAGCTTTTATTGTACCCTAAAATGACCACTTTCAAATCAGTGTATCATTATTCTGGTCTCACCTTGAAGTGATGTGCTTAAAATACCTTTAAAATAGCACTGTGAAGAAATTCCTTTTATATTAAGGTTATCAACCTGCCTTGAAATACATGCTCCAGCTTTCTTTGCTGTATCTCCGCTGACCCCAGAGGTCTCCCTTGCTGTGCCTTCTTCTCAGCTTCCTCCTTCTCTACCTGGATGACTGCTCAGCCCTTCCCTGGGGACCTGGCTCCACTGCCTTGTCCCTTGGGAAGCCCCCATGGCTACTTTTCTTCCTTGTAGCTCACAGTCCAATGCATAGCCAGTAGGCCACCAGGGCTCCTTGAATACTGGGGACAGGGTGTGGGGAGTAGGAACCTAGAAAGCTAGCAACTCACACTCAGCTACACTAGGACAGGCCTGATGTAGACAAACTACATGTATGGCTGCTTGGTCCTCACAACCACATCAAAAACTAAAAAACAAATCCACCACCATGGAGTTGGTTGGAACCTACAGTGGCCCCTTCAATAGGATAGAACTGTCCCATAGGGTTTCCAAGGTTATAAATCATCATGGAAGCTGACTGCCCCCATCTTTCTCCTGTTGAGCGGCTGATGGGTTCGAACCGCCTACTTTTCTGGTGAGCAGCTGAGCACGTCACCATCGGGCCACTACTCCTGCATACTCTTTGTGTCTTTCAAGAAATGGACATTCAGAGAGATTTAGCTTTTTGCAGTAAAGGGTGCAGGAGCAAGAACAAACCCTGGTCAGAATCCTGAGGTCAGCTTCCTGTTGGGCTGTCTTCAGGGTTCAGAGCGGGGAGGCGAGACTCCTTCCTTCTGCCTCTCGGCCATCTGCACTGACTTGCACATTTCAGTGAGACTGTTAGGGTGGGCTTTAATGAGTCACCTGACATGAAGATCTCAGGCTTCCCCCCCTCTTTCTAATGAGTAAGTGACTGATAAATCATTCCTTGAATACTTGAATTCATGGGGGCAAAATGATAAAGTTCTGGTCAAGACTGACCTCTTTCCAGGAGCAAGGGAATCCCCATGAGACCTGAGACACCATGCTATTTCCAAAGGCAGTAGCAGACACTTGTTCTGTTCGTCCAAGAATAAAGAGCTGATGTGCCGGGTGGTACCCTCGTCCATCACTGGTGCCCAGTTGTTTTCTGTGAAAGGAGGACCAGACTTCAGTTCTCAGTGAGGTCTCCGTGGGAAATCCCTCATCAGGCTGCAGAGCGCGCATGCACACCAGGACTTCGGGTGAGGTCCTATTCAGCTGCTGTTCTTCAGTCTGGTGTTCACCCCAGTATCTCCTTGATCTGCATACAGAAAATCTCACCACCTCCTCTCATTATAATTCAGCAAAGGCCGAGCTATTTCTTTTCTTCTATTCATTTCTCTCATGCTTTAAGCATCCATCCCCTGGTTGAAGAGGCCTTCCCTGACATACTTTGGAAGCTCTCTCCTCCCGTCTACTCCACACAGGCCTCCCTAGCTCAGAGCTTTGGCCCTGGGCAGTAACAGTATGGGACTCTTAGCAATACAGATTCTTGAACCTTACTCCAGATGTACCTAATGAGAGACTCTTGAGTTGGAGCTCAGGAATATGTTTGAAGAAACCTTCTTGTTGATTTAGCAGCCCTCATGGTGCTGTCCAGTAAGAATTGGATGGGTAACCAACCACACGTTTGGCAGTTCAAACCCACCAGCTGCTCCACAGGAGAAATATGAGGCTGTCTTCTCCTGTAAACATTTACCACCCCAGAAACCCTAGACTGGGCTGCTGTGAGTTGGAGTCAACTCGAAGGCAGCAGCAGGTTTAGGTTTTGTTTTGCTTCTCTGGGTAATTTCGATACGCGCTAAAATCTAAGCGCTGTCAGCTTAGAGTAACTCATTCTCAAATGTCAGAGGTTAGAGAAATGAATCGGCACGATACTATATCAAACCATGGAAGTCAAGTTTCAGCCTTTTGAAGTCCTCTTTTCAGGCATGAGGCCTTATCTGTACAGGAAGATGGAGTCCTTTCTGTGTGGGCATCAGTGCATCTTCTGGAAAAAATCGGAGAGGGACAGGGTTTGGGCGTAATGGATGCCACTCTTTCAGAATGTAGCCGCCAAACCCTGCCCATATGCCTTAGATCTGTAGTGCTGGGGGACTGCCGGTCCCCTAAGGGCTGGCACTGGCTACCTGAGCCACTTTGCCTACTTATGGCATGCCTGAAGTGTGGGAGAATGAATGCCCTTGGGGACAGCTGTCAGTCAGTGACTGACAGGAGGTGGCTTATAAAACCTCCAGCTCTATTACTGGTTGGATTGGGTATCTCTGAGGCAGGCAAGTTCTACTCCGGTTCCCAAAATTCTCCAGTGGGTGTTAGCTCGAGTTACTCAGCCACAGGTGTAACTTGCTTGATAGTGCACATTTTATTGGCTGCCTTCCTCCTGGGCCTCCTTTCCCTAATCCCCTCCTCATCTTTCCTGGGATCACCTCCCACTTGTACTATGCCAATCCTATGCCTTGCGGCGGTCTGCTCCGGGACAATTGGAATGGAGACAATTTCCATATGGTGCAACTGGGACTGCTTTGTTTTCCTGGGTCTCACAAGTTTCCCACCTAGACCTGGTGTGTCTGACAATTCCATCACTCATATTGGTGGAAAGTATTTTGAGGTTTCCTTCTCTGACAGGTTCTTACCTTATGCCTGGTCCGGCATTCACAGGTTTTACTGAATAGGTGGGCTCAGGTCTTTCTGTTTATTCGCATTTGTAATTTCGGGGAGTCATTGTATTTTGCTTTGTAAACGTTCCTAGGTGACTACCCCAATTTGGACCTTCAAATAACGAGAGGCACAGCGAGGTCATTCTGTAGATAGCTCCTTCGTACAGCACCTGTGATGTTATTATTTTTCTTTCTAAAAGAAGAAGAAAACAATGGAATGTTTGAAAGACACCAGCTGCAACTTAAAAATGGAGATGATGAAAATCCGTTTTTCCCCTTCTATAATTAATGATTGGGTCAATCTCAGAAGAAGTTACATTAAAAAGGCATCACTTGGGGCTACACTCAGCATTGAAATATGGTGCCTTGTTACAAAGACAGCCAGGCAAAGGCAGAACTTGGGGAAAATTACGCAATAGAAGTCGAGGGTAAGAGATCAGGGCACAGAATGACGTGGGCTGATGGATGGCACATGGCCGGGACTCAATCAATAGGAGCCCTGGTAGTAGAGTGCATTCTACATTGGGCTACTAACTACTAGATCAGCGGTTCAAAACTACCAGCCTCTGTGTGGGAGGAAAAAGAGGTTTTCTATTCTCATACAGATTTATGTTCTCAGAAACCCACAGGCACAGCTTTACTTTGTGCTGTGGGGTCACTTACTAGGAGTCAAAATGGACTCAGTGGCAGTGAGTTTTTGGTGTCTGTAACTGACCTAGTAAGATAGATGATGTGTTGTTTTGAAGATGATTTCAGACAAAGGTTTCCTGAGATTCCCTTTAAGACGGTTGCTTATATATGCCAAGACCCGTCATGGGTGCCTGAATGAAGTCACCGGCACAGCGATTGGTTTGGGTGCGCAGGATCCACCGGAGGAGGAACGGGTCCTGTTTCTGCAGATTCCCTTTGCTCTAGGGACGCTGCCTGCTGCTCTCCTCTCATTAGAGAGGCAGGGAAGTGGACCTCTGGGCGGCGGGAGTGCAAGTAACAACCAAAAGGAGGCTCGACGATGAAGTGAACGGTTTCTGGATGGGGATAGTAGCCATTTGCACAGAAAGGATCATGGAGACTCTACAGTGTACGCAGTGCACGTGATGAACCCAGCAGATAAGTGACATCTCTGGCGCTAGTTGGCGGATGTAGACAGTAGTCATAGAATCTCAGGAATGTCCAGCGAAATAGAGGAAAGAAAAGAGGATGCTGTAAAAGAAAAAAAAAAAGTTATGACAGGAGCAACATTGGGGGTCTGAGAAGGTTTCCCTGAGGAAATTATTAGGATCTGGAATAGAGGGAGGAGCTGTACATGGAATTTATGGAATGGCTGCTATCTCTGATTCCATTTCAGTATTTCTGTCTAATTACTTGCTAATTTGACTGCATAATAAATATATCAGGCACACATTTCTGGTTACCTTGTGCTAAGTATGCACTTGGCTCTAATTCTGCCAAGTGAATGGCAACAATTTTTTGATTAAAAATTGGCACGATAAGCATTTATTTTCTGTTGTCTCGAGAAGGAATCTCATCATTCTCCAGTCTGCTATATTCAAAGTGAAATTACCCCTGTCCATCTCGTCATGTGTACATCTGAAACATTGTCCATATTTCCCTCTCATTTTCTTTTTTGTCTCTTAGCACGCTGAACATTGTTCCATATTTTTTATTTAATTTTTGGAAATTGTAGGGAAACTTCATTGGCTTTCAATGGCATTGAATCAATAGATTGATTCAATGAAATTCGGGTAATTTCAGATAATTTCTAAGTACCATTGACGGCAAAGACATAGACACAGCACCATCATTAAAGGAGAAGAAGATAAATGGTGGCTTCTAAGAGTCAGGAAAACAGCTTTTTTACAGTCCATTTCACTAAGTGTTTAGAATGTGTATTACCTGATTAATCAATGTGTCATGAACCATAACACTGTCAATGCATTTTCACTGTTCAGCACAGGGAGGGCAGCGAGAGAAGATTGGAGTTATTGACGGTTCTGTATGCTATGGAGTAGAACATTATCAGCTGTTAATGATTGAAGTAGCTGTTGGGTACCATTTGGGAAGGAGAACATCAGTATTATGGGAATACAGAAAGGGATATATAAAATTGGTCCCTCTGATTCACAGCAATTGCTTTGACAGACTAAATTTGGTCTCATAAAACAGTTCTTGATTCCCAGTGAGCTGTTGCTTTTGGGAAATGCCATCCCCGGGTGGCACAAATGATTTGTTCTCTGCTATGGAAAGGCTTGCAGTTTGAACTCTTCCAGAGGCAGCATGGATGAAGACCTGGTGACTGACTTTGATAAAGACTGCAGAAAGCTCAGCGTTGCTGCCATAACTGACTTTACAAGGTTCTCTCTCTGATAACAGGACTATTCACATCCCTCAACTCTGACCAGAGGGCATTCACCGGAGGCCTTATCCATGTGGACCCTACAAATAGATTTTGGGCTCTCACTGTCATCTATAGCCTCTGTCAACCAGGTGTTCACAACTTAAGCTCTGATACCATTCTCTCCTTTAGATTTGGATTATATTATTTACAGTCCTTGGATCACACAGACTGGTGTGCTTCTTCCATGTGGATTTAGTTGATGACTCACATACATGGCTACTTGTTTGAAGACAAGCCTTGTGTGTTAGACAGGGTTCTCTAGAGAGATAAAACCAAATTCCTGATAATATAATATATTTGTTTATAAAGATAATTAGATATATAACGAGAAATGAACT